TTTTTCCTCCTCGTTGTCTGCTTCATTGTCGATTCTGTTATCAGTGTCGCTGTCGGTTTGGTTGTCTATCTCGTTGTCGATGTCCATGTCGTTGCCGGATGGCTGTCTACTCATGTCGGTCCCGTATCTGTGTTGTTGTCGGACTCGTTGGCTTTTATATGAGTTGCTGCGCTTTTTCTCATTTTTTTTTTGCCTGGAAGAACGCCGGTTCTGAAATTCCACGTTACTGCTAACATCCAGTGCGTCTCTGACCGGGCATCTCTTGATGATCTCTTTGATGATCAGTGTCACAGGAGGCTGCACCGTAAAACGCTGGACAAGCATGCACCCGAGCTCGACTTCATTTTTGATATTGTCCTTGACGCAATCATCTCCCCAGAATTCGAGGACCTCCACCGGTGTAAAGAGACGCTTATGGAGTGGGAAGACCTCGTAAAATCTACCAAAGACCTTCTTCTAATCGTCGAGAAAGTTCGTCCAGGGCAGTAGCTTCGTCCGACACCACTTTTTGGTTGGGTTAGTGAGGCCGCCCTGCGGCCCGCGAGCCATGTCGGGCTCAACTTTGAGTCGGTCAAAGAGATGTTTCTGACAGGCGTCCAGGTATTCTTTGATGGTGGTGTCTTGCATGGGTTTCTCTGCCTTTTCGGTGCGTTTCCGCTCTCTTTCAGCTTCTTCTTCTGCTTCACGCTTTTGGCGACCATTCTCCCTAATCTTCTCCCGGAGTTCCTCAATCTCCCGCGTCAGCGCCTTGATCGTTGCTTCCTTCCGTCGTTCATTTCGACATTGGCTTGCCAAAATAAAGGTGCCATGGTGCCCAAATGACGCCGGGTCCAGGAGGTCTCAAATTTATTGATAGTTTGAGGGCTAATGCATTTCAGTTGAACCGCAAGGTGCTCGGGGAACCGTTGGTGAAGCGTGGGTTGGTTTGAAGGAGGACATGAGCCACGAGTGGCGGCGGCGTTACCTACCTACATATCGAAGAGACAGGGCAAATATACCCGGTTATTTACCTAGGTACAGTATCTCCATTTACTGCACTGTTAGATTAGGTTTGCAGCCCTAATAGCCACCGATTACTGCGTTGTCTGCTCTAGTACCTCCCTAAGTTACCAACCTACCTAGATCACGCCAGGTACTGGTAAGAGGCAGTCATATCAATCATCACTCTGTCTTGCGTATGATCCATCAGCGGCCTCTGGGCGTTTCCAACGGCAACTGACATCATCAACTACTATTCCCTATCACTCTCCGCCACGATTATTGCCTATTAATTATCGGAGTCGGATTTGCCATATGGACGCCCCGGCCCGAAAAAGAACACCATCCGGTCGATTGATTAGTTGAACAATTATAAATTTATTTTAACACCCCCTCTAGTTGTCATCAAAAATTGATACTAGGTAATATTTCTTCGTGAAGGAAGTTTAGGATGACTTTTAGGGAGGGGCTGTGTTTTCTTCTCAGGGGGGATAAACAATGGTGTGAGACCCACAAGTGAACATTTACGAACAATGCGAGTGAAAGTGTCTGGTCTGATTCAGCGCTGGGGCTGATGAGTGCTTGTAATGAGATGACCGGACAAGACAGAAATAACGCGTCATGCACGCGTGTGAAGAGATAGTGGTGAAGTCATTGGGCGGATCCTAGGTACCTAGGCAAGGTAGTTTTTGAGTGCACAAATCCCACATAAAACTGGCCGTATTTGAACATCGCACATGTTATTCCCTGCCTCTCTCCTTAGAGTTTAAGTTGGAAAAATGGGACTGCATGGCTGTCCATCAATACTGCTAGAACCCGGCAACAGCTGTTTGGCGTGGTGGTCACAATCCGGACACCTTCACTCAACACAGATACCCAAGTTAGTAATAGATCCCGAGGTACCTAAGTTGAGAATAATGACCACAGCCTGCCTAGGTACCTGGGTATCGAACATCCTTTAGGGTCCACAAACTAGTTGTGGTATCCTTTCTAGCCGTGAACAAGTCTGGAGACAACTCTCTTCACAGGGCCCTGGAGTGACAGTTGATATATGTCATTGATTGTTTTTCAGGATTCAAGATTAATACTTGCCAGAGGTAATAGACGGTAAAAATAGCAGAGTAAAAGCAAAGGCCAAAACCGACGAAACCGACAGCATTCGAAAGCCCTCGAAAAACCCTATCTAACAATACCGCTTGCAACGGTGCGCGACCAGTGGCGCGGCCGCAGTGAGTGCTACGGTTAGGAGGGTACCCGCGGGTGCCGACCGCGTCGACCGCGTCCAAAATTTTCGACCGCCAAGCCACTAAGAGCCTTGGCCCCGTTACCCGGCCGGCCAACGGAACGAAGCCCCTGAAGCCAGCAAGACGAAGCCCCTGATGTGGGCAGGCCAACCGCCATCGGCCCCGTCGGAGGGGCCCCCCATAGAGGGCCCCCTGGTAGAGGTCCTCTCGCAGGGCCCTCTGCATGGCCCTCCACAGCGCCTAACCCCCCCGAGACTACCTAAGGCAGAGCATTTCAGAGGCCTGTTGAACGGCTTGGTAAATCTAGTACCTATCGAGAACAGAGGAGAGGCCCGGGGCCTCGCAAAGGACCTAAGCGACCTATTTGCAAGTCAGAAACAGGGGCACCACCACTCGAAGGAAAGCCTGGGAGGGCTTACGGCAGCCCACCTACAGAAAGTAGTTACGGAGGCGGTCCAGGCTGCCGTGGGACCCAATCGAAGTGCGACACAGGGCCGTTCGTGGGCTGCAGTGGCCGCAGGGCCCGGGCAAGGCTTGCAAGCTCAACCTACGAAAATCATCCCCCAGAGGGCCGACCGGGAGCTACTAGTGCGGGGAGCCAACGTGTCAGCCGACCTTGCACAAAGGTCCCCAGTCGAAATCATCCAGGCCATCAACCAAGCCTCAACCAAGCAGGGAGCTATTGCAGCCCGGAAGCTCCCTAGCGGGGACACAGTGGTAACGTTCAACGACTCGAACACCAAAAGCTGGCATTCCAACAACACCCAGTGGATTCAACAAGCTTTCGGGGAGCAGGCTAAAGAGGCTGGCAGAACTTACGCAGTGCTGGTGAAGGGCCTGAGGAAGGCCGACCTACAGGGTACTACGGAGGAGGTGTTCGGGGGAGAACTAGGCCTTTGGTCAGTGGACAAGGTCAAGTTCAGAGTCCCAACCAACCCAGGGTTTACCAGGGCGACGGTACTAGTTGCCCTTAGAGACCAAGAGGAGGCTCGGAAGGCCTGTGACCAGGGGATAATCTGGAACGCTCAGCTACTCGACTGCGAGCCCTACTGGGCAATGCTGGAACCGAAACAGTGTGTTGGAAATGGGGCCACATACAGAGGTTTTGCCGGAAAGAGGCCCTGTGTGGGAGGTGTGGTACGGGGGCCCATGGGGAGGGCGGGAGGGCCCGGGGAGGCCCTCTGCCCTACCCAGCAGGGTCAGGTGCCCTGTAAGTGCCCCTGCTGCGGAGGAAGGCACCCGGGCTGGGCCAAGGAGTGCCCGGGAAGGGCCAGGGCCAAGCAGGAGGCGAGAGAGGCATACCAATACCGACCAAGGGTGTTCGAGCCAGCTCGGACAGCAGCTGCGGAGCCTATAACAGCACCAAGATCAGCATTCACCTACGAGAAGGCCCGACCACAGGAGGAGGAGTATGGATTTCTGAGAGTCGGGGCAAAAAGGCCACGGTTGGGCAGAGGCCGGCCAACGTTGATTTCAGTGGCTGGAAGGGACCCCTCCCAAAGCCGGATTAGCCTTGGTTCGGGGGGGATATTCGGAGCTATCCAGCCCACCCAGCCCACTCAGCCCACCCAGCCCACTCAGCCGGCCGAACAGGCCCAACCAGCTGAAGACGCACCTATGGAGCCTAATGAAAATTAGAGTCCTGCTGTGGAACACCGAAGGAAACAAGCAGGCACTCGAGGCCCTGCTAGAAGAAGCGCAGTACGACCTAATGGCTATTCAGGAGCCATGGATCAACCAACAAACCAAGTCAACCTACTGTCCCAGAGGCTCGAAATACCACCTAGTTCATAAAGCAAGTGGGCGAGCGGCTATATTCGTCAGCCGAAAGTTCGACACAGGACAGTGGGAATATGAGACTTCAGAGGAACATTGTAAGGTATGGTTCCCAGGGCTCGGGAACAGTGGACTAGAACTCTGGTCTATCTATAACCCCCTTGAGGATAAAACCCTCCTACAAACCCTCCTAAGTCGGCCGGCCCCAGCCTACCCAGTAGTATTAGCGGGGGACTTTAACCTACACCATCCGCAATGGGACCGGTTTGGCCGGTACGAAAGGAAGGCCGAGGCTCTCCTAGAGTTGGCACTACAGTGGGATCTCGATCTTCGAACTCCAGCAGGCACTATAACCAGGGCACCGCAGGGGGCCCAGCGAGGCCGCACTTCGACAATAGACCACTTCTGGGCATCAGTGGGTCTACAAACGACCTACTACGGCCTGGAATACAGGGGGAAGTCAGACCACTACCCACAGATTTTGGAAGCTGACATCGGAGGCCCCCTACCACAACAAACCCAGCCAGGGGGTTGGAACTGGAAGATGATGGACAGGCGTAGGGTGGAGGCCGAGGCGGCCCTCCTACCAGAGAAAATAGGCCTAGAGGACCCAGGGCCACAAGGCCTCCGGGCACAAGTCAGGGAGCAGGAGGGTTTAAAAGAAGCATTCAACTGGTTGGTCGAGGAGCTACAGAGGATAGCTGAAGTGGCCACCCCTCGGAAGAAGGCCAACAGAGGGCACGGCTCGCCGTGGTGGTCAGTGGAGGTCCAGGAGGCCCAGGGAGAGGCAAGGAGAGCCGAAAGGGAGTGCAAGGCAGCCCCGTCGGAGCACAACAAAGAAAGACTTAACCAAGGTCTACGGGCCCTCGCGGCCACCATCAACAAGGAGAAAACGAAGACCTGGAGGACAACAATGCAGAAAGCCACCCACAAAACCGACCTGCTATGGAGCCTAGAACGCTGGGCCCGTTGCAGAAGCTTCGCCCCCCCAGATCCCCCGAAACTGCCCGCTCTCACAGGGCCCCCCGGAGGCCAGGACCTCTCCACCCACAAGGAGAAGGCGGAGGCCTTAGCACGCCGGTTCTACCCTAACCCAGAAGCTGACCTTTCTGATATAGAGGACCCGGACCTGCTAGAACAGTGGGTTCCGAAGTTCAATATAGAGGAAAAGGTTACAGTGGGTGATGTTAGGGCAGTCCTTTCGAAGATTAGTCCTTGGAAGGCTCCAGGCGAGGACCACTTACCTATAGGCCTTCTTAAGGCCTGCGGGCGCCCACTGTTCAGGGTGCTAGCGGTTCTCACGGAGGCGTGTTTCCGGATCGGATGGTTTCCAGAAATATTCAAGAGAGCCAAAACAGTTGTCCTACAAAAGCCCGGAAAAGAGCCGAGTACCTACCGAACTCCAGGAGGTTACAGGCCTATAGCCCTCCTACCTACAGTTGGGAAGGTCATAGAAGCACTGGTAGCAGAGAGGATTACTAGTGCTGCAGAGGCCTACGGCCTACTACCAGCGGAGCAGATGGGAAACCGAGAGCACAGGTCAACAGAGGTAGCGATTCGGCTAGTCGTAGCCCAAGTCCAGGAGGCCTGGCGGCAGAAAGCAACCGCCTCCCTTCTACAGTTGGATATCTCAGGGGCATTCGACACCGTCAACCATACCCGGCTACTAGCCACTCTTCGGCTACAGGGTTACCCACAGTGGGTGGTTCTGTGGGTGAAGGCGTGGTTAAGTAACAGAGTTGCGATCCTCCACTTCGACGGCCAGAAAACAGAGGACATCCCAGTCATAGCGGGAGTCCCCCAGGGCTCACCACTATCCCCGATCCTATTTATCCTCTACATTGCCTCCCTATATCAGGCCCTGAAAACAACCCATCCACTGGTTAGCATAGTAGGGTTCGCAGACGACACAAACCTACTGGCCTTTGGAAAGAACCTAGAGGCCCAATACATAGCAACTGGAAAAAGCTTGGAAGACCTGCTTGCAGTGGGCTGGTACCCGGGGGATGGCGTTCGCACCTCAAAAGTGCGAATTAATTCACTTCAACAAAGGTCGGAGACAGTGGGAGAACCCGGTGGCCCTGGCCCACCCAGGGGCTAGTGGCTACAGCACAGTTAAGCCAGTGGAATCGGCTCGGTTTCTAGGAGTCTGGCTGGACTGGAAGCTATCATGGAGGGCGCACCAACAAGCTGTGGAACGGAAACTCAAAACCCAAGATTTCGCCTTATCGAGGATTGCAGCAAAGACGTGGGGCCCGAGCCTATCCAGGGCGTCGTGGAGGTCTACGTAAAGTGCATCCGCAGTGCCATAGCTTACTGGAGCCTCCAGCTTCCACCAACCAACAGCTCCAAGAGCTACAGGGCCGAAGGGGCCTGCAAAGGTCTTGTCAAAAGCTCAGAACAGGAGCCTTCGAATAGTAGTAGGGGCATACAAGTCAGCTCCTATTCGGTGCTTAGAAACAGAGGCCTGGGTGCCACCGCTAGACTTATATCTCAACAAGCGGCTGGGCCGACTTCGAGGGCCGGCTACAGAAGCAGGCCCTACAGTCAGGGGCTGGGCCGGAGGCTGAGAGAATAACCACGGGGCATCTAATTACTGAGGCCTGCAATAAGGTCTACCGAAGGTTCAACAAGAGGAGGAAAACCCGAGGCTGGAGGCCCCGTCAGGGCCCGCAGAGTCCCACGCCCACTGAACTAGCCGCTAGTGTAGTGGCCCAGTGGGTTAACTACAAATGGAAGATCGGGGGGAAGGACAGGGGGTCGAATACCAAGGAGGTGGTCGAACTGGCCTGGCAGGCCCGGTGGGAACAACAGAGAGCTAGTCAACAAAGTACTACTCGACAGAGGGTATTAAACAGGAGGATAGCCGACGAAGACCCCCCCAGCCCTCTTATTTACCGACAAAGCTCTGATGAGACACGAAGGTCTTACAAAGGCGCAGAGCTCCCTCCTTTCCCAGGCCCGTATCGGGGATATAGGCCTCCGGGACTACCTGTTCAGGGTGAAAGTCCCGGAGGTCCGTACCCCTTATTGCGAGTGCGGGAAGGGGCAGGGAGACAGTGGAGCACTTGGTGGTTTGGTGCCCCGACCCGCCGTTACAAAGGCCGTGGGACGGCAGAGAGATTCGGTCACATCGGGACCTACAAACCGTATTACAGGGGAGTAGGTGCCCGGAGCAGAATGATTTGTTAGGAAGGTCCATTGGCTGGCTGATGGACTCTGGCCGGCTACTGGAGTATAGGCTGGCCAGAAGGCTGGAGCTAGAAACAGTGGATGGGGAGGGCTAGAGGGCCCGGAGGCCGGCAAAGGGCCTCCTTTCTTTTGCAGTATGACGGATTCATAGATTGTTGTCTCAAAGTGGTAGACAGAGGTTTTTATCCGGCCTATACGGCACGGTTTCCTTTGTAAATAGCAGTAGAAGGACCGGCGCGCCCCAGGGCATATCGGTGTAGGAAATAATAATAATAATAATACTTGCCATTCTTGGGCCGTGTGAAAATGGGAACAACTCAATATTCGTCCGAACCTGACGCGTCACAGAAGATGCTACTAGGCCAATGGAAACCCCATTAATAACCTAAACACACGAACTCAAGTCGCGTCCTCCTGGGAGGGAATTTCATCACTTTGATTTTATTCCCCCATCTTCAAGCTGGCGGGGGGGCTCTGACCTCCTACCTAGTATTTTTCAACTGCCTCAACCCCTTCCAAAATATCCCCCCATTCCCTTTATCGAATCCTGTTTCCACCCCTTAAACTCACATAGCCGTTATTCCCTTCAATGTTGAATTGAGTTAACTCCTAGGGTTAAGCCGCTCATTCAATGAGTACCGATAATATGGCTACTCCTCCAAACAGTAAGAATCCTACTAGCTACTTAACGTCCCGATTCCCAAAGGGTCAATTCCTCAAACTAAACGATTGGTTCAGTCCCGAGAATTCACAGATTCTTCACTCCCGAAGCAATTCAAAGAGATCGAGCAATCGTTTAAGGTGATGTTTGGGACGTGGAAGCAATGGACCCTCATACACATATCCACAAATGGTCATCAGTTTTCCAGAAGCTGAACTTACGCACCAATCGACCAGGGGGCCGCTGACTTCCCCAATGGTGTCGAGGACCCGGGGGGTCGGCTCAACGTCGTCTGGGGGTAGTGTCAACAGTATACCGCCACCGCCAGCCCGACCTCCGCCTGCCCCGCCCATCCTCTCCCAGGGTCGACGAACTCCCCGCATACCGGATGTCCTGAGCGGCAACTCTCTGCCCTTGCCTAGAGTCCGCCCTTCCCGTTCTCGCACAGCGAGTGCCACGGGGAGCTCTCGCCAGAAGCCGAGCAACTTGGCCCCCATTGACGAATGCCGTTTGAGCCACTCCCGGGAACTGACCCCGCCCCTGCCAAACCGGTCGCCAGTCTCAGCTCTGCCGTCAACTTTGCCCTCAGTTCTACCGTCGGCTCTACCCACGGCTCTGCCCCCGGCTCTTCCTCCAGCTCCGCCTGTAGTTGTACCCCCAGCTCCCTCCCCAGCTCCTAAAACCCAGCAAGAAGAGTGGCTCCATGACTGGCAGCAGGAAGTTCCCTGCGAACTTGCGAAGTCAGTAGGGTGGCAGAACTCGCTCTACCCGTACGCCGTCGACCCCCTGTACGATCCCCGGGCGCCCACGCCAACCTATTCCATGTTTCCGCCTCCCCGGTCTCTGCCCGTGTCGCCCATGCCGCCGCCACGATTTGTGTCCCCGTCCTTCTGCCACCCCATCAGCCCGGAGCGCGTTTTCCTTCAGCGGGCTGGAGTTCTGGATGCCGATCACTCGCGTGTCAGTACTCATGGCAGGCCCCCTCTCTTATCATCATGTAGGTAAACAATTACTAACACCGGCCAGCCTTGCTCCGTGACCTATACCCAGACAACCCGTTCGGCTATCCTCCGCCCCCGCCTTTCCGTAAGCCCCGTACCTCCAACCAACCCCAAACATCAGCACACCAACTAACCCCTCCCTCCCCCGAAAACCCACAGGCCACAACTGGGACCCCCCCAACCGCGCCCGCGCCCATAACCTCGTCAACTCGGCTAGGCTCTACCCCGCCGGCCAGACCGGCCCAACAGTCGGTTCCGTGCCCCGGCCCCGGCCCCGGCTTCAGCCCACGACGGCAACATCCAGTGCTATGTCTAGCTCTGTCGCCGCCCCCTCGCCGTTCCTGTTGAATCCGCTTGGCCCGACCTGGACCGCAACCTCGACTCCGACTCCGACTCTGACTCCGACTTTGGCTCAGGCCCAGGCTCGAGCCCCGGCCCCGGCTATCAGAGACTCGACTATGTTCTCGACTGGTCGGTTTACCTATTACCCCGTGATGAGCCCGTATGAGGCCGAGGCGGCGCTGGGTGAGTGCTTTCCTACCTATCCATTCTGTTTTGTTGTCTTGCTTCTTTGGTGGTGGTGGTGAGTGGAGTGGATGAGTGAAGCTGGGCGTGCTGACGGAGACGCTGTGTACCTAGGTTCTGGCGGTGTCAATATGGGTGTTTACCAGCGTGTTAATTGTGCCGAGCAAGAAGAGCAAGAGGGTGGTCAGTCGGAGCAGCTGGATTCTCGCATGTTTCCGCTGCTGGATCATGACTTGATGTCGGCTGAGCAGGCGTCAGCGGCGGTTGCTGCGGCTAGGGTGGTGCGGAATACCATCTTTATTGATCGAGGGTTTGATATAGAGGGTGTGAGCCGGGCTTCGTCTTATTATGGGGGGGACGAGGGTGAGGGTGGATTGGAGGTTGTAGAAGCTGCGGAGACTATGGAGGCTTCGGAAGAGGCAAGGGCCGCGGAGGTGAGGTTGGGAAAGATGAAGATTTAACGGGCAGCATGCATGTTCGGCTTGTGGATGAAGGCTGTTGTAGAAATCTTTAGGTTGCCGTTTAGTATGTGTATATGGATGTATAATGTGTAGTTATCTGGAATCCGTGTATGTATAATCACTTCAACTTCTACTGTTGGAAACGACACCCAGACGGAAAGATTGGAGAGAAAGAATTGATTGATTGTTCTTCTTCGTGACGGGCATCGTCCTTACCTCCTTTTTATACTTCTTGTTCAGACCCTGGAACCCCTCTAATACTAGTGCATCGTCAACCAGGCTTCGGTCTTTCAATTTGCCACAATCTCCAACACTGGTACTCGCAAAAAGGTTCCATGCGGCGAATCCAACAGGATCCATGTGACGAATCCAACAGGATCCATGTGGCGAATCCTACAGGGTCCATGTGGCGAATCCAACATCTACATCTCTTGGAGCGAGAATTGCATTAGCCTTTGAGTATATTTAACCAAACGGCAAGGCTAGAAGATGGTTCGATTCAGAACCCGTTTCCTGGTCCTCTCTCAGCGGGTCCCAGCTTCGTTCGGGTCGGCCCGTTCACCGCGGCTTAGGGGATTATAACATCCAAAGTAGCCCTGGAGACCCAACTGCGTTATTCTGGTAGGAAATTTGGGATTATTGGAGGCAACTAACAGCGGAATCTCGGTCGGCATGGTGTGGTCAGAAACTTATGATCTGACGCCCCTGATCCCCAATATTTTGAAATATCATACGCACGCTTGTCAAAGGTCACGCTTGGATCTAATATACGTTGGCATTGCGGACCCGGAGTCACTGCGCATAGCTTTCCAAACAGCATTGAGTGGCTGTTAGAAGAACCTCATATCATTCATCCCTTGAGCTATCCTCACTCCCCTGGCTCCATTTTGGGCAGCTCGGCTATCGCTTACGAGCTGCCAGACCATAAGCTGACTTTTACGAATTAAGTGTCCCAAGGTCGGCCCAGTCGACAACAGACCATAGCTAGGTAAGCTTATTTCTATCTTTTGTTGGCAAATAAATAACCAGACCACGGGCTAAAGTCACCTCCCTTTCCACTGCGCCTCTCGGAGAGTTTAACATCCAGTAACCGGTTTTCTGCCTAACTTTCCATACCTAGCTCGAGTCATTTGGTCAGGTACCGAGGCAGGGTCCTCAAGGTACCGACTAGTAAGCATCATCATCCCCACCATTCTGTCATAATAATGGTTGAACCACTAACGATCGCTGTAACGAGTCTAACGGCCTTTCTCCCTTTCCACTGCCGACCCCGTCTTCGAAGCCGCCGGCCGTCTTCGAGATGTGTTCTCTAATCCTTCGCATCATGCACCCATGCCGCGGCTGTGGGAAGTCAAAGATTGACCGAGACATGACTGTGCCATGCTCCAAGGCACCTCTTGCGCCTCCCGACTGGGCATGCTGTGGGCTTGACAGGCTCTCGCGACGCCGCCCGGTCGAGGTTCACTGGGTTGACCCGGCCTACTGCCACTACTGTCGGTTCCGAGAGTTTGCGGCCGCTCTGTATCTCGACCTGGAAGTGGGTGTGCGGGAGGAGTCAACGGGGAGCGAAGGGAAGATGTAGAGAGGGCATCAGCATCTGTCACGGCCTCATTACTCTGTTGGATAACTTGAGTTTAGGCGAGATGCGTTCACTGAGAACTCCCCGGGTTGCTGCCGTTTATTAACAACTCCATTGTCGGGGATCAATCTCCCTTCATGTCCCCACGTGTCATGTTTGCGAGCTACGCCAGTTTCCGGCTCCAAGAGTTTGCTCCGCCAAGGGTGTGGCGAACTAGTCTGACATCTGCTCATGGCTCCGCATGATGTTCATGGTGTCTGTTGGCTGCAAAGCAGATGCAGAACTGAGTCGATGGCTCAATAACGAGACTCCCCGAGTGTCCTTACCCGTGCACAATGACTGACATAGAACCAACTGCTTAACATCGTTGCACCCGCGGAAAACCGGTCCCATTCCCGTTTGATCTGGTGACACCTGAATAAAAAGGCGGGCCGCCCGCGCGCATGGATGACGGTGTATGGGAATGATGGGCTGAGAAAGCGAGTCCTGCCCAAGCCCAATTCCTGTTCCGTCACTACCTTCATCACTTCATCAGTGTCGGTCTCGGGCTTCAGCAAACGATTAAAACAAAGCTTCTCATACATACTGAAACGGAGAAGTAAGCAACTATATTCATGAAACCTGGGCCTTTGAAATAAGTGTACTTACATGTAGGTGCACCATACAGACTCCGCCATGGAACCTCCCACTAACACCAACCCGCGGGCACAAACGATGCCCCCCCCCCCCCCCGAATCCGAACCTGCTACCAGCGACGGCGGACGCCCGACCCAGCGCTGGACTGTGGACGGGTACCCAATCGTCGACGGCAAGTACCTCGATCACTCCACGGGCGAGCTCAAGACCCACGTGGCTGGCGTGGACCAGTTCAGGGGCGGCCCGCCGTCGGTCTCGGTCTACTGGCAGAACCAACTGGCCACGGGCCGCGGTGGCCAGTTTCTGGTAGTTGCCAAGGTCGTCACACACGTGAGGGACCTCACCGAGTACCTGACGCGCGTTGGTACCTTTCTGGGAAAGGGCCTGTGCAAGGTACACTCGTTGAATGCGACGCGCTATGAGGTGTATGTGGTTGTGTCGTCGGAGTTGTCCCAGGGGGGATTTCGAGAGGCTTTGGCGAAGGATGGGCTTTTGCAGTAGGTGGTGGATGAGCCGGCGCTATACATGGGAGAGTGCGATCTTCTAATATCACCTGAAGTCGATCTAATACGTGACAACAAGTTACTTAATTAACAGCCCACGTCGTTTATCATTCATCAAACTTAATGGCCTGAGCTACAAACATTAACACTAGAGACCCGACATTACCTAGATGACGGCAACAACCCACATCTGGGGAGCGAGCGGCGGGGACAGGTTGTTGCGTAATCTACTGTGGTTCGTTGGCTCGGAGGCGGCAACGGTGGAGGGCAGGCTGAGAAATGAGTGAGGATGTGGAAAGGGCTGGAAAAAGCTGTGGAAGGAAAGAAATACAGAGCGGGACGATAGAGGGCAACGGGGGCAGGGGTGGTAGATGGAGAGCTCCCTCGGGTAGCTGAGGCGGACTTATAGCGCGCTCGATGGACGCCGACGGGTTCTAGGCGGTTCCGGTTGCGCACCGTGTGTGCACCGGCAACGGGCCGTCGTCGTCGCCGAGGGGAGAGTGACACGACCAGAGATAAAGGCTGAGGAGGTTATCCAGGGGCAAGGGGGAGCTGAACGGCTTCTTCTGACTTCAATATCTCTCCCACCTCGTCGTGGCATTTCGTCCTTCCTTTCTCAATTTACGCCGAGGAGATCACCCAATCCAACGGCTACAACAAAATGGAGACATTGCATCTGTCTTGCCGCTCCCGGCGTTCCCACGTTCGTACGGCCGTATGGCCATCTTCTCCTTGTGCCCAGTAATCACATGCATCGTGTCATCTGCCCCCGTCTCATCGTCGTCCTCAATGATGATGAACTCCGGTACGAACTTCATGCCAAACGCGATCCATATGTGACGCCAGGCCTTGATATCGATACTTTTTTAGATCGACTCGGTGCTGATATCTTTGACGCTATCCGTGGGCGAGTTGTCAGAGAGCTGAGCTTCTCCGGCACAATTGCTCCTCGGGCAAAAAGAAAGGGGTTGGGCTCCTTGCCCACAACACCCAGCACTCTGTATCGCCAGGGAACACTCACCAAGAACTCTGAAGTACGGCATCACGCTAATCTAGCCTTCAGACAAGAAGAATCTCATCGTCTTGAAGGGCTCACCTGTAATTTGTACATCTGCTACGATGCTGTCTTCTACGCTCTGATCAACTTAAAGTTCTCCATTGGAACGCACTCGCCAGGCCGTACGCTGTTAACTATCTGCATGGCAACACAGACCGCAGGCCGCCGCCGACATCTGGGACGAGCTGGCCAACTTTTGGTCAGCGATATCATCATGAAACCCGACACCAAGAAACGGCACATGATAATTTGGGACGTGTAGATGACGGACTAATAACTCTTGAAAGCGCCATAACTACCCACCCATAATGCCCTAGCTTCGGCACAATCTCAACGTGATCTTCATCGGTCACGACTCTCGCCCACCAATCCCTTCTCGAATTCTCCAACCACTCCTTTTGCGCCGTGACGCCATTCTCAAACGAACCAGCGGCAACATGCATTGCATTTTCGGGGATAGGCCAAGCTTGGTAGATGTCATGCTGAGGATGACATAGGCAGTGGTTTAGCTTCTCTTGACTCTCCCCCCAGGCTCGGAGTAAATGTCCAACAGACACAATACAATACAATACAATAAATAATACATCACGTCGACTTCTCATCATCCCGCTCAGCATACCGCACGAGATAATCCGCCGTCAGTCCCAAGGTGACCGCGCCCCCCGTGATCCAACACCCATTAACAAACCACCACCAGCAGTCCTTCACACTCTTGAGATTAACCCGCTTGATCATAATCCCCAGCGTGACCAGCGCGCCACCGCAACTCCCCACAAAAAACGCCGGCCCAGCACCCGTCGCGATGCCCGCGCCAGCCAACAGCGCCACCTGAGCAACAGCCAGCCCCGAAAGCACCTGTTTCGTCTCCCGGTCATGCTTGAGCGCGATGCTCTTGATCCCCGCCTTGGCATCATCCTTAATATCCATATGAGCGTAGATCATGTCATACAGCACGGTCCAAGCGACATTCGACGCGTACAAGCACGCCGCCGCCGCCTGGGCGGCACCATTGTGCAGCAGATCCACCCCGAGCGCGGGAAAGCCCATAATCGCACCCCACGAAAAGGTCAGCCCCAGCACGAACTGCGGGTAGTAGGTGACGCGCTTGGCCAGCGGGTAGGTGGCGACGAGCAGCAGGCTCGGGGTGGCGTAGAAGAAGCAGCTGAGGGGGAACTGCAGCAGCACGGCCAGCCCCGCGAGAAGCTGCGCGCCCGTGAAGATGACCGCCCGAAAAGGCGTCACGGCGCCCCGCGCGATCGGCCGCAGCCGCGTGCGCGCCACGTGCGGGTCCAGGTTGCGGTCCCACAGGTCGTTGATCGTGCACCCCGCCCCGCGCATGACGATGGCGCCGGCCAGGAAGAGGAGCGAGGTGCCGAGGACCGTGAGCGGTGGGGTGGTGGGGACGGCCAGCGGGGCGGCAAGCAGTGTTGAGAAGATGCAGGGGAAGTAGAGGTAGTAGGAGCCTGTGGGCTTGTCGAGGCGGATTAGCTCCGCGTAGGGGACCCATGATTGGGGGAGCACGGAGAGAAGACCGGTTTGGGGGGGGGTGTAAGATGGTAGTTCGGTTGTGGTGGGCGCAGTGGGTGTGGGAGGACTGGTGGTGGTTGCTGTTGATAAGAGTTTGGTGGTGGTGTGGTAGGCGATGAGGGAGCGTGTGGATGAGCTGGCGTGAGTCTCAATGGCGAGTCGTCGAGGAGCTGAAACGGCTCGTGAAGTTGGAATTGACAGCCGGGGATGACATGGTTTATAGGAGTTTGTTGTTTGTGAGAATGGAGGCCGCAACGGCAGCCTCGGAAGTATGCGGCAGGTAGACATTTCGACCGTGAGATGCCGCCACCAGGTCTCTGGGATAGGTAGGCTTATCTTCTAATTATATTTTAGTTCTAATGAGCCCAACAAGTGGAGGAATAGAAGAAACAAAAAATAAGAAAAACTAGAAGGTAGGTACCTGCTTGAGAGAAGCGACTCACTCACTCAATTTAACCAGTCACACAACTTGATCTGTCGTCCTTTCTTATCTTGCAGGTTCAATCTCAAACATAATTATAAAACCCAGGCTTATTCAAGCCAGCCTCTCATTTCATCCCGTCTTTAATTTCGAGTTTATTGTGTTGGAGAAAACCACTTTCACATGCTTCGAGGTTGACTTTGAGCCCCAGCAACAAATTTCCGCCCCACAAGCCGGGAAGCTCTCCCCAAGCTTGAGCTGTTTCTGCTGTTTAATTGGTCAGCCCTGCCCCACCACATTCTTTCAATCGCCAATTCCCCTCGCCGATTTCATCCAAACGCGCTTTGCTGCAGCCTCGAAGACTTCCCGTCGCGTTTCTTGCAACGAACCGAGTCCACCGAGTCCACCAATTCCTAGAACACCGCAACTCGCTTCGGCGCCGAGTCGCCATGTAATCCAGATTTGACTTTAGCTGTTCGGCTCTTAATCTTCGACTTGCGATCCGATTTTCACGAAACGCGCTCTGGCGCAAACGCCACGATGCCGACCGCACAGCATCCGCAAGCGAAGTTCGATCCCATCCCGCCGGATTTCGATTTGCATTCGGTTGTAGAGAGGACGCCAAATTTCCACTGGATATTGCGCATCTCGGCTGCTCAGATTCGAAACATAGGACCTCAGGAATTCGAGCGACTGGTGTTTCTTCACGTCATCCACGGTGGGAAACCGCTGGTCATCGAGAAATGGAACGACCGTCTACCCAAGTCGCTCTTCAGCGCACAATGGCTGGAGTCTACCTACGATAAGAAACGTGAGCAACCATCCATATTGTACACTTCCGCGTGTTGTGTTTGTTGGCTGACAACCAAGCAGCCGAGAATGTTCGAGACGTGGTCGGGCAGGCCGATATCCCCATGTCGATGGGCCATTACCTCCGGTCGATGAAGACGCTCACGAACCAATGGGCCCCCAGCAATTTCCGCGATGAGCGACGACAGCGACTCTATCTCAAGGACATCGACTGCCCTCCAGAGTGGCAAGAATACCTGCAGAAAATCATCCCTCCGAACCTTTACTACATGAACTCGAATGTCGACGAGCGGGCCGGGAAAGGGAGCGGCGACGATATGGGCATCTTCCAGGAGGGGCGGTCCGCCGCCCCTGCCGGTGATCTGATGAGCAGCCTGCCTGAAGAAATGCGCGCCCAGAACCTCATGTGCTACATCGGCCACGAAGGCACTTATACCCCCGCTCATCGGGAAATGTGCGCTAGCCTGGGCCAGAATATCATGGTGGATGCCTCTGGCGACGAAAATGGAGAGCGGCCAGGAAGCTCAATATGGTTCATGACCGAGACGAAGGATCGCGAAGTGGTGAGGGAATACTTCCTGTCCATGCTAGGCCACGATATCGAAATCGAGAAGCACTTTGCCCAGGTCAACGCCTGGAAGAAGGCCACCTTTCCTGTGTATGTCGTGGAACAAAAGGTTGGAGACTTCATCCTTGTTCCTCCGCTAGCTCCCCACCAGGTTTGGAACCGCGGCACAAGGACCATCAAGGTCGCATGGAACCGGACAACGGCCGAAACTCTACAGTTGGCGCTACACGAAGCACTACCAAAGGCAAGGCTTGTCTGCCGAGACGAGCAGTACAAGAACAAGGCCATCATCTTCTACACCCTGGACAAGTACTACAAGGAAATGGTGGATACGGAGAAGACGGCCGACATAGGCTTGCTCGGATTCGGTCAAGATCTGATCAAGAACTCGACCAGGATGAAGCAGATGGCGGCCGATTTCAAGTCACTTTTCAGCCTGTTCACCGAGGTTCTCCTCGACGAAATGTTCGCGACAAGGGAAAAGGAGATCGACTACATCGAGTTCGACTCCAACATTACTTGCTCCTACTGCAGAGCGAACATCTTCAACCGCTTCCTGACCTGCAAACGCTGCGTACGCCAGCTCGTCAACGGAGACGAGGACACCTACGATATCTGTATGGAGTGCTACGTCATGGGCCGCTCGTGTTTCTGCGTCTCCAATCTCAGCTGGTGCGAGCAGTGGCACTGGTCCGATCTGGTTGACCGGTACGAATCTTGGCGGGCGTTGATCATTAAGAATGATGGCTTCGTCAGCTTTGACGGTTCGCCCCTCCCGTTGGAGCTCGCGAGGAGGAAACTGGGCAAGAAGGCGGTTGCCCAAATCTGCCAGGAGCAACTGCGGATGCGACCGTGGAAGGACATCACCCAGGCGAAGGAGGCATCCGAGCCAGAGTCGGATGTCGAGGTGGATGACGAGGGCCGGCCCAAGAAGAAGAAGAAGAGGAAGGCGAAAAAGGGCGACGTGCACCGTTGCCACGTTTGCCAGCATAAAGACTACAACTACAAGTTGGCCTTCTGCACGAACGAGGGTTGCCATGATGCATATTGTTTTGGTGTGCTTTACAGGGCCTTCGACATGATGCCGCAGGAGGTGGTGCAGAACGAGCGATGGCAATGCCCCAAATGTCTCAAGATTTGCAATTGCGCCGCCTGCCGCCGGGCTGGGAACGGCGTTCCCTACATTCCCAAGACCACCCTGCTCGGGCACGACACCCGCCGAATCGCAGATGACCGCAGCGTCGAGACCCTGGTCGACTTCCGCGTTCACAACCTGTCCTGGCTCAAGAGCGTGGGCGACGAGAGCCGGAGCCTGTCGAGCAAGCGAATGCAGAGGCTACAACAGGCGGCCGAGGCGGAGAAGGCGAAGCAGGCTGAAATGCCTGACACAGTGCCCACCCTGCCGGACGGCGCCCTGGCGGAAGTATGGATGCTGCTATGCTACATGCTGCCAACGGCCACCATGGCCAGAACGGGACCGTTGGGCCTGGAGTTGCGCCTATGGGAGACTACGTCATACCTGCGAATGCAGTCGACGGACAACAGCAAAATGGTTACCACATGGGCCCCGCTGCCGTCACTGACATGTCTACGGGTGTGACCCAAGACCAGTCCTCATACCCCGACCCCTCGGGGCTCGGCCGCGAGAGGATGCTCGGCATGGGATACTATGAACAGGATGACAGCCCTGACAAGATTCTATTTGACCCGTACCAAATGCCCTCTACAGAAGCTTTGGTGGTGGATGACGAACCGGAGATATCCAAATACCACAAGAAACAACCCCGAATCACGAAACGACGAGCTCGACAGGAAGAAGACGACGATCCGGACTTCCAAGGGCCATGCTCTCATCACAGAAAGAAACCCAGGCTCGAACCCGAGCCCCAGCCCGACGCCCAGGAAGTTGCGCTGAGCAACATGGACCCCGCCTTGTTTGGCGGTGATGAGACGGTGCTCGACGCCCCTACGGAAGAAGCCCCGCCAGTCCATCCTGAAGCGCCGGCAGAAGTCTCACAGCCAGCACCCGAGCCAGCTGATGGTGCTCAAGACACAAGCGAGCGTGAACGGCAGGGGTACTCCCCGAACTGACCAGCCCTTCGACACGCGCGGCCCAAAATATCTTATGTTGTCGACGAGAACGGCGAAGAGGAGTTCAACGACGTACTAATTCCTCGTTCGCAGCGGCCACCAGAGGGCATCGCGAACTACAACCCGGAACACGCAGGGAAGGACCCGCTCGACCTAGCATCGGCGGCAATTTTCTCTACGACCAGCGGTACCGCGCCAGCCGCCCAGAGCCCCAGTGCGCCGGCGGCGGCGCCTCCGCCTAGGAAGCGGGGTCGACCACGAAATCGGAAGTCTCGGGGACCCAGAGCGCGACTCCGAATCGTGAGCCCGAGAAGCCGGCAAAGCGGCGTGGACGGCCCCCGAAGGTGCGGCCTTCGCTTAGCGCGGGTCCTGAAAACGAGACGGATGACCTTGATGCTCAGCTAGCGCAGCAACTCAAAGGGCTCGACGAAGAAGGCGAGGTTATCAATACGGAGGTAGCGCCTCGGGATGAAACGGCAGGACCTGTAGGGCCGAGGAGACGCGGTCGTCCACCGCGCAACGCCCAACCCGAGGCCCGGTCGAAAAAGCCAGAAGTAGCTGTGGAACTGCCATCGCAGTCACTGCTGTCCATGGCCGAAAGGATGCGCCTCAGGGGCAAGAAATTCAGAATTGGTCAGCCAAAGGGATCGGCATCGGCAAATCCAAAGACCACTACTCGCTCGAGAGAAAGCGAAGGGGAGAGCACCCCCGTGGAAGCCGAGCATCGACCCGCCGAACGTTTACCTCCCCAAAAAGAAGCAACCCCAAAACCAGTCGCGAGAGGCAGAGGCAGGCCTAGGAAGCAAGCCACCCGCGACGAAACAGAGAGCGCAGGCGACGACTTTGATCCCGCTGCGGAAGAGGAAGCGGTGTCAGACACAGCCCGCAGCCCATCCCCGCTGGTACATGCCGAGCCCAAGCCAGTCCTCGAGGCAGACCCCGAACCTTCTCCGCCGCCGAGCATCTCTGCGACCCCACCCCTAGCGCCATCCATGGCCGTACAGGAAAGTCTAGCTTCACCGTTTCCTGAGCAGGAGGAACCCGGACCCGGACCTGACCAGGAAGTCGAATCCGAACCCTCTCCCGCTGTCGAAACCACCCCATCTCCGGCACCGTCGCCGCCTGCCGAACCCACACCGACTCCCGAACCCTCTGCACCTGCCGAAGCGACACCGACTTCCGAACCCTCCCTCCCCATCACGCCCTCGCCCGTTCCCGAATCATCCCTCCCCATCGAACACTCACCCGTTCCCGAACCCTCACCCCCGCCGTCCCCGCCGCGACTCCCGTCCGGCCCGACCATAGTGAGGTTGTTGGACTCGGACGAGGAGGACGACTATTACGACGGTGGGGGAGGGGGGTACTCCACCGACGGCGAAGGTGCGTCACGGTCGGGGTCGGAGCATGGTGGCGAGGCTGGTAGTGAGGTGGGGAGCGATGGGCTGAGCGGTGCCCTGGAGCCGAGTGACTCGGATGAGGATGAGGATGAGGATATACCCGCGAGACCTAGTCTGGCGAGCCGAGGGAGGGGTGCGGCCGTTCGTGGAACCCCCGGGGTTGGGAGGGGTAGGCCAAGGGGTAGGGGAAGGGGGCGCGGGGTGGCGGTGTGAGCTGGAGTTGAAGGAAATCAAGTTTGATATTGCGGTGTGTTCTAGGTTACCCCGGTTGGCATCAATTTCGGGAATGGGAGGTGTATCAGCATATAGCGACGGGCGTCCTGGGCATCACAGGTTGAGTATGGGTTTGGCCTTCATCATGACATGTTGTTTTGATTTGCTTCAAATGACAATAGCATAGTGCCTAGGTAGCTTGGACGTATGTTGCCTGAGAACAATCGAATCATCGCATGCAATCTGTCAGTCTATGGCCTCTCTTTTGACGCAGGGTGCTGAGCAAAATAAAACTCCTTGAATGCCTTGAGAATGGATATGCACAATCCCTCCTCCCATGGCCCTTTCCATTCCTCAACCCTCCTGTCCCCCTACCCACATCATACAACATAAAACCCAATCCTACTCTGCTAAACCACCAAAGTCAGCCAGCCAACCACCACAACCACACCCACCATCACCTCCCCTAACAAACAAACAAACAAACAAAGAAAGAAATAAATAAACAAAACTTCAGAAAATTTCACAAACCATCCCGCATACTCGTCCCCTTCTTACTCGTCTCCTCCGCCCGCCCCTTCGTCTGCTCCTGCAGCCGCTTCATCGCCGCCTCCCCGGCCTCCTGCGGGCCCATGCGGTCCGCTTTCACGCTCTCCTCGCTCACCGACGCCAGCTCGGGCTTCCAGTGGCCCTCGCCTTTCTTTTGCTTGGCGAGCGAGTCCTGCTTGTGGTGCTCGTAGTTTGTCGCGTCGGGGTCGGCTGTTGCGGGGAGGGGGGGGTGGTTAGTCTTTTGTTTTGTTTGGGGTTTAGGTTGGGTTTGGAGGGGTGGATGGGGGGGGCGTACTTGAGGCGGATTCTTTGAGTGCGACCCGTGGGGTTTGGGTGAGGGTCCGGCGTGCGGTGGTGTTGGGGAGGGAGAGGATGGATGGCCGGAGGGCCTTGGTGGTGGTGTTGAAGAGGGCGCGGGCGGACATGTTGATGGCAGTGGGCGAGATGTGTTGTTGGTGATGTATGGTTTCAGAGATGGCGTTTTTGGTGGTGTTTGTTGTTTGGTAGCAGTCTGGGAGCCAATTGGGCAAATAATTGTCAATTGGCGCTTTTCTGATCTCTCGAGGCAATAGAAGCAAAACCTTGAGCTATGCGAGATACAATTCCAGCTTGTTGGCAGATGAGGCGATGAGGCAGCTTTTCTCAATGAGAGGGGTGGATGAGACGTCGGCAGTTGCGATGACGTCACTAAGTGGGAGCTTGCCTTTCACGCACTCATTTGGCGGACATTCATCACCAAACTGCAGTCACCACCAGGGTTGAGAAAAGTGCGCGGTTCCACTGCGCGTCATTAATGGAGTTTGACCTTGCTTGCTTCAATTTACCTTGACCGACCATTGCTGGTACATGTGAGGGAATTTGCTAGGACCGGCCAGGTCCATAAAACATACAGCATTGTAAAAACTTTACAGGTCAGTCAGTGCTTTGCATAGGTAGGTATACAATTCTAGGCCAGTTAGGACAACTTATTTCTACTGATAAACGAATAAAAGTACACGGTTACCGTCGAGGTCCATCGACTAAAAACCAACAGAATGGTCAGCTTCCAAAGCGGTAGAGCTGTAGTTAAATGCACCGAGACATTTGCATGGCCGGGCGCCGAAGCCGGGACAAATCATACCCTCCGAACACACGGCATCGTCTCATCTCGGGGTCGAATCGAGGCCGGGCCCGATGTTTTATGTTTTACGACAATCAGCGCGATCACGGAGGGTCCGGCCCGGCCTGACCGTCTCGGCCGGGGAGTCGCGACCGCCATCCATTACCTGCCCGTCTGTTTTCGTTCAGCGACCCGAAACCGAGCCCGGCCGGCCGTGATGTAATAAACTGGCAACTCGGCAGCCGATAATAGCCCGAGTCTTGTGCCTCAAAGAGGGTCTGGTGAGATTTGTCAGGTGACAAACTGCTGACTCGTCTGGAGATTCAGGGGAACGGGATGGGCTTGGCACGGGAAACACTGCCATCGCGTGATGTTATGATGGGAATTGGGTTTTCAGGGGTAAACTTGTCGTCCCAACAGAACTTCAAGCACGTAATGGAGAATTGGAACTCCGAGGGGCCTCCCGGCTTCCTTCGGACCGCCGGCAGCTCGCGACTCCACCACCGAGAGAATCGACGAGAGGGAGGCAACCCGGCCAGACCTCCACTGGTTGCTTTCTTTTTCCGTTATTACCGTCAATTACGGGAACGTCCGATCTTCGAGCGTCCCATGCGCCACAACCTCCAAGCTGTGCCTGGCGAAAGAGGATCTGAAAAGAGAGTTTCGGAGCTTCGGCCCAGGCGCTGGAAAGACGACCGGACCTGAAAGATCAGCCGCCGGTTCGCCTTCCTGCGCGCTAGCTGGCTCACTACCTCCCTAGTTAGTGAACGTTATCGATCTCCGTCGGCAAAGAGAGCTGCATGCCTGCAAGGTCAGCACGCGCAAATTCAAGGATTGTGAACCGCCTCGTCACTTTCTTCCTTTTTTCCCCGCTGCTGCGCCGCCTGACGCTGCAATTCGGCGCGGATCGGTCATCTGGGGAAAAAGCAAGTTACAGGCATCCAAGTGGCGTCGACGATGGAGGTCTAGCCTAGCTCTGCCTGGCCACACCCACTCACAGAGCTGCGCACAATTAGGCTTGCAGGCACTGCAGGCTTGCACAGCACCCGCTCGCCGAGAAAAGAGCGGTGTGTGGCAGTGTCACACCCTCGACAAACCCTTCGGCCACTCCGTGGTCTGTGCTGGAGAGACACCAGATCTCTTGGTGCACAGTGCTGCTTTTCGATGCGGGGGATGAGAGGGTCGACGAGGAGCTCAAACGAAGCCCCGCTTGTGAATGACTGACTTCATGGTCTGTCTTCATGATGACTCCTGGGAGGAGTGTTGCAACAGCTCGGGTTTCCGAAAGGCGGCGTCTGTCATCTGTATCTTGCTGGGCTCCCCCCATTGTCAAGCCCGGGACAGATTGATCAGTGTCCATCGAGGATGCAAGGGAGCACAGCCCTGCCGTGCATTGGGAACAATGCATTGACGATGGTTGCAGTCCGTCCCTCGCGAACCCTCCCAATGCCGGAGGGAGATTCGGCATCAGCGAATGATAAGACCGCCGGCAGCCAGGTACACCAGATAAGTTTCTGTCATGGCCTTTCCTCGTTTCGTCGGATGCTGCATTGACCTGGAATTGCGGAAAAGAGGCTGGCGGACAACGTCCCCCGCCTTTCGAAACACCCGGCTGGCACCTGGGGGCAAGGCGTGCCGAGTGTTTGGGTTTCAACCCCTCGATGCCCCTCGCCCGGAACCAGGGCAAGGGAGAGCGCTCCGACCTCAATTATTGGCCCTAAGATCTTCCGCTTTGCCAATCCCGTCGCTAAACATCGAGACTAAAATAGGTCGATTTGCCTTTTTGGCCCGCTTCAGGCATGAAGGCATTCACGAGACCCTCTCACCCTCAAGTCACCCAGACCACCCTTCTTTTCGCCGTCGATGTGTGTGGTTTGCGGTGTGGAAGAGCACCTTGACGGCATGAACCGTATCGAGGGATAAACGGGAGAATGCAACCCAGAGATAGCGAGAGATGAGCTGACCGCCGAACTGATTCTGCCCCCTTTGTCACCCCACCACCATTTGCCGATGGTCTCGGGTGGGTGGGGGTCGCTGGTCTCGGAGAGCTGTTCGCTTTTGCATAACCCAAGTCTCGACCACTTAGCGGCCAGCTATGTGTCAACTCATGCCGTTCTAGAATTCCCCGCCATGTCGTCGTGGTCCTGTTGTTCCAAGTGTTCTCCATTCCATGGCACCGAACTGACGGTGAGGAGCCCCCGATCAGAAAGCTCACTCAACGGTCACCCTTTCGTGATGCACCACCTGTCGGCGCACATGGCGGTTGATGGAACAACCCAATGATACCTCACAGGCGCCATGGAAATGAGACGCTCACAACCCGCATGCCGAGCCGTGCAGGGGCCGAGCAGGCCGCAGAGAGCTTCATCGATGACTGTTACAGCGAAGCGATTAGCCAACTAGCGGCTGGAGGGCGTCGACATCCCCAAAACTGGTGGATATCTGTTGTGAGATGATAACATTCTGTGCAAGGGCAGACAAAGTCCAACAATCCGATTATGCCGGTGACGGATGGGTGCAGCTTCGGTGTTAGTCTGTCTGCTCTTTTGGAGGCCACTCGCCGTGCACTCTGAAATACATACGAATACACTCGTACTCTGGCACCTCCCTACCAATGTTTGCCATCCGTCCTGGATACTGTGTAAAACGTGTGGGGTTCTGCCCAGCCACCTCTGGGTTCTTGCGCACTTCGTACCTCATCTGGTACCACCCTTGCCACTGTTTTCGACGTCGGAGGATCCGTATCGGGATACAGCGAAATACGACCGACGGTCTGCCGCGAGGTCCGGAGGTCTCGACATGTTTTACTCTCCACACCAGCCAGTCAAAGGCCTGCGGGCGGAAACCCCCGCCACAAGGCTGGACCTGACTGTGAACTTTGGCTGGCCACTCGGCTGGACTCATTTCTGCATCTCGAGCCGCCGCTGGGCCAATTGGCCGTGGAGCGCCAGTTTCATCATTCCGCGGCGCCTGAGTGCATCGCGCATCTAACTGAATCTGGGTTTCCATCTTATTAGCACCTGTAGCGAACGCCTTGTGTACACCACACTCCACGCACAGTACATCCAGACAACGGCGGGTCCGGAGCTCATCTACGAATGCCGAGAGGCGAAATTCGATGCACCGCCCTCGGCGCTCCATTTCTGGACTCATCGGCCAAAGAAAGTAAACAAAAAAGGTCACGTAAAAAGGGAGGACCCGGATAACGGGCTCAACATCCGAAAGATAGAGCCGGTGTTTGTCCTCATGGCCAACTTGGACGCTCGCGCTTGGGTGAACGAATGCATTGAGAGTTGCAGCTGTCGTCTTATCGGAGCCACGTCGGGCGCCGATTGTGGATGAGGGCTGGGTGGAGCGAAATGATGGCCTGTGGACATTGCAGGAACAGCGCCTCAACAGCTGCTTCCAGGTCCAACCAGAAACAAGCGAGCCAGCCTGCCAGCACCGTCCTCGCCGTTTCCGGCACTGGTTGTTGTGAATTGCCAGGGCCAAAATTACACGACAGCATTTCCAGCGCCTTAGGCTGTTTCCAGCTTAGCGCAGGATCGTCCATCCAATCGTGAGCAGCACGGTCTCCACAGTTTGATGCGGTCTTGCCACCCAGCCCGCAGCCAGAGTGGCCATGGCATTGGCAGGTGAGTGTGTTCGCCCGGGGTCCTGCCACCCTTGTGCATTAGCGCAACACAAAGTCGTGCCCCCCACCACCCTCGTCTGTCCAACCCTTCGCCCGCTCCGACTTGTCCCTCTTTCCCTCGCCTCTTCCTTACTTTACCTTCACCTTCCCCCATCCCCACCCTCCCACCAAAATACCACCCGCAAAATTGCTTTTCCAAAAACCCCCCTCAACGGCGCCATCAACGACCTGCAATCCATCTTGACAAAACTCTCATAATTCATTCTCATCACCGTCAACGCCATTACAGCGTCCGCCTCAACGCGCAGCTCCCTGTGTTATTGCTCCAACCGTCCGATCAGACTTGAAAACCGCGCCACTCCGGTTCGCTGCACTTCGCTCCAACCACCAAACCATACAAAAACGACTTCTTGGTGCATCGCCCTGCTGGTTCACCAATCATAATGTCTACGTACTATCACTTCGGCGCCCACCAGCAACACCCAACATCCGCGACGGCCGGAGCCGCCGTGTCGCACAGCCATCATGGCGGGCGGAATCGCAGAGCACCGAGGCTATCCGCCGCACAGATTCAGAACAAGTTCCGCGGGGTCAGGAGTATGAAGGAACTCACCGAGGCAGCAAATCTTTCAAGCTTCCGCATGAGATTCGAGGCCGGGCGCTCGTTCGACCTAGAAGATGACATGGAGTTCTGCCCAGGCCTGTTGACCGAGAGCGATGTGAGTCTCGGACGGCGACCATAACCGCGTGATCAAATATGCCTGGCACTTGGACTGACACTGGCGCTTAAAGCTCGTTTCGATTCACAGCTCGTCCTCGGAGCGCTCGTCACTGGCGAGCAACTCCCCACAAGGGTCCCCGACGCAGCAGCCCACTCAAGTCGCAGCATCGAGCTTCACCTTGCAGTCGTCCTCGCCCGCGTTTATCCCGCCTCCATACCAAAACCAGCAGGCGATCGCGGCCATGAAGCTTCACCAGCCCTCTGCCACCCGCGCCCGCAACGCCATCCCTATCATCAACCCTGCTACTGGCGTCTCCATGTCGAGTCCGCCACCCTCGGTGTCACCCGCCAGGATGCAGCAGCCCGTCGGCAGACGGTGGTAAGGTGGCTCACGTCTCGCTTCTGTGACGCCCCAGACGAGACTGGGCTGACCCGAAGCCGTCGTCGTCGCTGCAATCGCAGACTGTATAATCACTGCGCGCATTCCGCTCATGGCAGCTGTTCATCTTGGCGGGCACCGACATCCCTAGTAGCAGGCATCGATTTTCTTTTTGTTACCCTCTGGCAGGCGCGGGCGACACAACCCAACTTCTCAAGGTCGACTGGATCCTCGACTTCCTTGGCAACCTCACGATACCCACCTGTACAAAAACAACTCACTTTTGATCGACATAAGCCTGTCGCTTTTTGAAGCGACAAAACTTTGACATTTTCGGATGGCGCGATAAAGAGAATAATCGATACCTGTCTGTTTCAACCAGTTTCTTGCGGATACGGTGCTCCCGCTTCGAAAGATGGGAGCTGTTCTTTATTTTCGGCTACAACGAAATGGGCGTTTTCCGCGGCGGTTTTGCATCCTCGTCAACCTGCTTTTTGCATCGGTGTCTCACGGCGGAGTTCTGCGGGTTTGCTTTTTTGTTTTCGTTCGATACCATACATTTTTGATGTTTTGGGGGTGTCCTCTTTTTCTCATTATCACGGAAGCGGCGACTTATCCTTCATCACGATAAAAAGTCCTAACGGTTCACGGGTCAACGAGTTCACCAAAAAAAAAAAAAGATTATCGACATATAGAACGACTTTTCGGCGGAAGGGTGGAGGGGTGTTTGTTTTACGACATTGGTGTTCTCGATCTTCTTGGGGGCTACATGGGCGAATATCTCGGTGTAGGGGCGGGCTGGCAAGACATTGTGCGGGTTTTGTTGCTGGGGAATCTCAGAGAGCTGGTATTTCCGGATCGGTTTTTGGGGGGCCGGGGCTGGCTGAGGAGTTGGTTGATATTTCCCGTTTTTTTTTCTGTGTTCAATCTTCCATTTGGTTTCACTGTACCATGGGTTGAGGATGGGCTGGCCGCGGCTTGGTTCCACCTCTATATCCTTAGTTTCTGTTTTCTTCCTGTCTTGATTTTCTACGGGCTGCATCTCGGATATGGTTACGGCGGAAAGGGGGGAACGTTTCGCATTTTCTGCTATGGTTCCCTGGGTTGCTCGGAGGCTTCATTTATTGCGCACACAGCCGCTTATCTCTGTGTTTTGGGGCTGGCGGGGCTCGGTTGGCAAAGCATATTGGGGACTCTCGGGAGCGGGCGCGCGCAAAGCGTTGTTGTTTGCTTGGTGTCAAGGCGGCCGGTGTTTTGAAGCAACTTGTCTGTTCGAAAGCGGTTGTGGGATAGTTGGGTTGAGTGTGGTTGGCTTCGTGCTCCTGATTTCCCTGGCTTTCCCCGGCTTTTGGCTCTGGCTCTGGCTCCTGGCGGCAGCGCGGCGTTTTTTGTATGCCAAGATATTGAAGCGAGCAACTAAACAATGCTCTGGTTCTGGGAATTGAAACATGGCGACCTGTGCGCCTCTTCACTCTAATTCTGGTCTGCTCTCGGGTTTGCGCGTGACTGCTCCCTGACCGGGCACCCGCCTGCCTTGTGGAAGTGAACAATAGGGCTTGATGGTAGGCTTGCCAAGGCTTCCCGATGGTGGTGTGGTAGGAAGTTCCATGTTTACTTCTGCCAGGGGCTCGTCACTGTGGACTTGGTCGAACAAGCTGATCAAGAACAGGTCGGACACAGCTACTGTGTAGCCTTGTCATTACCGTACCCAAAGTAACTGCCGTCCCTGAAGCATGTCTCCCCTGGCTGGTTTCAAATTGTTTTCTCAACTCGCCGCTGACTGACTTGCGAGGTTCGTCTGAGTGTGGATCAAACAGCTCCAACGGATATGGGCTGGGCCATCTCATCAACCCGACTATGGGGCGGACATCAACTATGGAGGGGACACATGTTGTGTATCACCACATTTTGAGATAGATTATATTCCTGCCATGGTGGGGGACTGGTTTGTTCGGCATATAAGGTTCCCACCACATGAGCCAAAACAAGCCATACTCCAAGTGTAACGCTCGATCTAGAGGCACCAAACGAAGATATTCTGAAGCCTTAAGAAAGTTTAATCTATTCTAATTACTTTTCTCTCTGCTTTCGGAGCCAGATGCTCAAGGAAGAGAGTTTCGGACATACGCCGCTCGGGTAAGAGTTTATACCTTTCTCTTGCCCGGTTTCATTCTCGTCTAGATGACTTGGGAGGTGTTCAGTCAGCCTTAATGGCTTGAGAGAGCGAGTCGTTCAACCAGTCCTTCACTTCTCCTGCTTGGAGCCACATATGCATTGTACCCTTCTTCCCATTCTCCGGTTAACCTTATTCTACACTCCGGCATTTCATACTCACGCCCCATTCTCTAGCTGTCCACTAGTGTCCGAACCGCCAGTCATGTCCGTTCCGCTGACCACTTCTCTCCCGAGTTGCCCTGGAGGGCATTATCAAGTTGTTACAAGTTTCAACTCTGCTTTTCTGCCACCTCGTTGCAGATTTCACCGGAAGAACTCTCCTTGTTCCGGTTTCTTGATCATGTTAAATCCGCATTTCCGTCTCAACATTCACCGGAAGAATCCTGCTTGTTCCATTGTCTTTATCACTGATCTATTCATCACCGCTCCCAAGCCCTGCCCTACACCGTGAGGATTCCACTTGTGATTGTATCCAACACTGGTCTATTTATACCCTCCCACTTCTGCTTTCCACTCGATCTTTTCCCTTTCCCTTCTCAACTCTTCTTTTTACTCCCACCTCCGCCTCCCAGCTCTTCGCCCTTCTACACTCCCACATTCCTACGTTCCCTCACTCCCACACACACACACTTCCGATGGCTGGTAATCCCAACGGCACAGGCAACCGACTTTGGGCAACACATTCATTGCAAACAAACAATTACACTGGTAGGCATTTAATATTTGTTTTGCTCTTCACGCGCCGCCCAGCTAGCCTTCTACTTCTGTCGCTGAACGGAGTGACTGACCCTTCTCACAGCCTCGCCGACCAGGATGAATGAGCACGATCAGCTCACGCAGCCGGCTCGCCCGTCGGGTTCCCAGAGCACCCATAGCACCCACGGCGCCCCGGGCGTTCAAGCCAGCCAGGGCACACAGGTCCAAGGTTCCCAAGGCTCGTCCACAGACCTCCATGGCCTCGACAGGTATGTTTCGCACTCCATCATTGATCTTCCCTGCACTCGCAAAGCAATCCAAGTGAATCATTTCATTCAGTCGGCCACTGTATCCGCCGTGCGCGATGACAAATAATTATGAATGCTGATTTGTTTGTTTCTCATATAGCTGGCTCACTGATCGCATTGTCACCCTCACGGTCGGCGCCGAGGAGAAGCGCTGGGTTGTTCATGAGAAGCTGCTCATCAGCCAGTCCGAGTTCTTCAGGGACTATTTCGCCGAGGGCGATGATGAGATGAAGCTGCCGGATGACGACCCGAGGCTCTTTGCCCTGTTTATCCGCTGGCTTTACGGCACGGCCTTCCTGCCCTCCGGTGGTGCCCGCAACTTTCGTTTCCTTGCGCCCGATGGCACTAACCTGACCGTCCGTGACTAGTACGTTACCCTACCCCCCTCCCCCCTCCCTCTTCACTCATTCACCTTATTCCAGTGATGGCCGTAGCTAACCACACACTCTATTCAGTCTCGGCGTCTACGTCATGGGTGGTAAGTTTGGCATCCTCGGCGTGCGCAACGCCGTGCTCGACGTGCTCTACATCTACTTCGGCGAGGCCTCTGACGACCACTGGGCGCCCAACATGGCCGATGTCACCTACATCTTCGACCACACGGGCCCCAATGCGCCGATGCGGCGCTTCCTGACTGCCCACTCGCTGTTCTTCCTGTTCAGCAAGAACCGCCGCGGCCAGCCTCTGCCGCAGGACTGGAACACCGTGCTCAACGAGTACCCGCAGGTCGGCTTCGAGATGATCACCATGCTTTCCGAGTGGAACTGGACCATGGGCTACAACTCACCGCGCATGACCATCAAGCCGCGCCACGAGTTCCATGAGCGCCCCAGCGTGCCCAAGGTCAAGCAGGAGGATGAGGCTGGTGGCGCGACCGGCCGTTAAGCCGGGAGAGAGGTCATCCTTGGGAACGTTACGATGGGTAGCGTGGTTTTTATTTCCTTCATTTCCTTTGTTTTTGCGTGCGCGTTCAGCTGGGATAAGTGATCAGGGCCTAGGTTAGAGCTCTGGAGCCTTTGAGTGGCTGGTTTGAGGGAGGAGCGATTTAGTTTCCGAGGATCTTGCTGGTACTTGCTTCATCGTGGAGGCGTTCATGGAGGGTCCTCGGCTTCGTGCCTAGCAAATAGGCAGTAGCACCTTACTTAACAAAGATTTCAGATATTCTCTGCTTTTTATGTCTTGCGTTGCTTCCTTCTCTTTGAGCTTTCTCCTCCTTCCCATGCCTCAGATTCCCCAGTCACCATAGCGCCGCAAGCGCCTGCCATGCTTCTCGACTGTAATGAGAGGGAACCCAGCGCATATTCTCTCGGGAAGTTACATCCCAGACGAACACAACTAGGTATTTCTATCATCTCCTCTCTGCTTCCAAACTTTCTCCTACTTCATCCTGCATTCTGAATAAACAACACCTTACTACTTTTTAAACACCCAGCGAAATTATCTCGATCTGTATCTCTCTACCATACTTCAACATGACACTCCTGCAATCTAGAAAAGACAACCAGCGTGGACCAGCCACCGAGAACCCTATCCCGGCGGGGTTCGCTGCCCGCCAACTTTGTCCTTTGCGCGAGTCCTAGCGCACAAACATCAACAAGCGGCAACGGATTCCACCTCCAGAACCCAGTGGGACCCAAGCAACGCCCAAGATCCATAAGCCTGCCAGCAAGGCCCGATGGCTCGTCCGTGTCCCCATTCTCAAATTCCTCCCCGGCCCTTACCACTCTACCGTCATACCGAGCCCGGGGTGGGCGGCGTCTGTGTGTACCTCGGCGCCGCTTCCCTCCTGCCCGACCTCGGAATCACGATCAAGCGCGGTCGACATCCTCAAGGCATCTACCCTTCTACACAGGCTGGAAGGAGGTCAAAGAAGGAGGAGTCGGCAAAAACGGGGTCAAACAAGAGGCCGAAGAAAGCGGCAATGCCACCAACAACCTCTCGACGGCCTCCCGGCGGCGCTTCTCCTTCCGGGACCCTCCCCAGCGGGACGGACTCGTCGTGCTCACCCTCCCCGAGCGCCTGTCCCTCGCCCAACCTGCCCCGGGCGCCCAACGGTCAGCCCGCCGGTCCTTCACCCGCCGGCCCCTCAGTCACCCAAAGACCCTTATCCCCCGGCTCCTCATCAGGCGACGCAGACGACGAAGCCAGCGACACCCCCGCCCAGCAGCAGCAGCGGCGGGAGCAACACAGACGAAGAATCTCTCAGTCCCCCCACCACCCAGCGACAATAACAACAAACCCAAACCCAACCACCCCCAGACAACCCCTCTTCCCGCCCCACCCCCCCCTCGAAATCAACCTCCTCTCCCTCCACAACCAAAAACACAGCCACAACAAAGACCCCAACCCCGACAAGCACACCGCCACGCTCAACAACCCGCGCCTCCACATCGGCGAGCTGGCGCACCCGCCACTGGCGGCCTCGGGCGCCGCGTACCCCGTGTTCCGCACCACGCCCGGCAACCGGCGGCTGTCGGAGGCGGGGCCGCGGCGGCGCAAGAGCGTGGTTGCAGGAGGGGGCGACGATGCCGGTGCTGTATATGCAGAGGGTGGAGGCGGGCTGGGGTGGCGCTTTCTGGATGAGGGAGGAGAGGTCGGAGAGCTCGAAGAGCTCTGCCTTCT